CTCTCTCTCTCTCTCTCTCTCTCTCTCTCTCTCTCTCCCTCCCTGAGAACGGAGCTGGAGATGGCATCCTGTGATCCCAAATAAAGAATGATTGATCGGTAGGAAAACCAGGTGGGGAATTTTCCTGCAGACTTTTGGGGGGATTTTCCCAGGGTCTCTGGTCCGCAAGATTTAAAATTATGAGTTTGGTGGCCCCTGAGGTCCAAAAGGCAGGAGACCCTACACCATTTGAGACAAGTGGCGGTTCCCGTCTCTTCTTTTAAAAACCTCCAGGGAGGGAGGCATCTGCTTACCATGGGAAAACTTTTTGAAATCCACCACAAATTTGACATATTCGTAGGTAACGGGCTCGTTCGGATCCAAGTTTCCTCGGGCTAAGTGGCAGCAAAACTCGATCTGTTTTTCAGCTGAAAGAAACCGATGAAAGATGAGGTTTTTTGCAGAATAAGACAAATCAAGGAATCGTCAAGTCAGAGGATACACCCACAAGGTCATCTAGTCCAACCCTATGTTTGGAACTCATTCCGTATCTCAATCAGGAATTGAGACTAGACAGAACACAGAATGGTTGCTGGCAAAGATGGCTTGAAAAAAAGATTCAGAATTAGGGTTAGGTTAAAATCTAGGGGCTCACAACACAAAGTTTTTCTTATTTCTTTTTTAAAAATTTTATTTATACATTTTTCTTTGGTATACAAGGGCTTAATACACAGTGTATTCTCTGGGTCAATTTACTTATAAATAATAATAATTATTATTATTATCTGACACAAAAAATGACAGTGTACACAGCAAACGAGATAACTATGCTGGGTTTCATATCACAAATTACTAGTCAAATTATTATTATTATTATTATTATTATTATTATTATTATTATTATTATTATCATTATTATCATTATTATCATTATTATCATTATTATTATTACATAGTGATAATCTATCATCCTTTACTTGTACCTAGTAGTGATCTTTCATCTTCTAATTTCTACTTCTATTGTCTAACCATTGACAAAACAAATCCCATGTTATATAGTATTCTGTATCTTCCTTATCTTTTATCTTCAGTGTCAACCTATCCGTTTCTGCGCATTGTCATACTTTTTAAATTATATTTTCATCTGTAGGAGTTTCCTCATTTTTTCCAATACTGTGCAAATACAATTCTCGCTGCTGTCAAGACATGCAATATTAAATATATATTCCCTTTATTGTATGCCTAGCAAGAATATTTCTGGCTTTAAATCTATATTTAAATCTTATTTCTTAAGCCCTTCGGTGCTATTAAACTGTTTCTAGAGCATGCTTTAGGAAAATTAAAATTTCTTTGTTGGAAATAGCGAAATGCCTCACTTACCGTTTAGAAAATCAGAGGTCACTGAGTTGGTCACAAGCATTTGGGCCGAAAGTTCCTTGTACACATTGTTCTGTTCACACTCAGGTAGGAAATTTAATATATTTTGGTCCACCAAATCTGACTGAGACAAAAGAATTTTGTTGTGTTCAACAAGAGAGTTAAAGTGACGGTGCAAAAGCGTAGTAAAACCAAGAAATGCTTAGATATTGCGCGGTTAGAACTCACCGGTAAATGACCAAGGAGCGAAGAGACGCTATCCGATACATAAATAATAATCCCATCAGTGGTTAGTGCAATGAGAAACCCATCTAATGCCTAGAGGTAGGACGGGAAAAAAAAGGCATAATATAAGAACAAACAGCATGTATCCCAGCCTCTCAGCTATTTACTTCAAACTTAAATTTTTCAATGGAATTGATGAAACTTTGTTCAAGTTAAAAGGGTGACAGGAGAGCTCGGCATTAAGTATTAAAATCAGCCTCTGACTAGTAAACGCGAGAAGAAGAAGCAGATTTGAGGGATCTAGAAAAGGCAGCAAAAATTATTTGTTGGTGTTATATTTTTAGCCACAGAGCACGAGAGAAGGGAGTGTGTTATTTGTGTTGTTTTTCTGGGCCACGAGACAAAAGAACTGGCTGACTTGATTTGAGGAAGGTACAGTAAGTTAACCCCATTTGTCTCAAGCAGAGAGAGAGAGAGGGAGGGAGGGAGAGGGGGGTAGATGATAAATGATAGAGAGATAGGGATGGATAGATAGATAGATATAGATGATAGATAGATAGATAGATAGATAGATAGATAGATAGATAGATAGATAGATAGATAGATAGATAGACAGATAGATAGATAGCGATGAATGGATGGATAGAAATAGATAGATAGATAGATAGATAGATAGATAGATAGATAGATAGATAGATAGATAGATAGATAGATAGACAGACAGATAGACAGATAGCGATGGATGGATGGATGGATAGAAATAGATAGATGAGAGAGAGAGAGAGACAGTCAGTCAGACAGACAGACAGACAGACAGATGATGGATGGGTGGAGAGAGAGAGAGAGAGAGAGAGAGATGATAGATACATAGATGACACCAGTTTTTCTTGAGAGTATTTGTACCCAACATATATTGTTGATCACTTTGACAAATATTTTGGAAACATATGGATAACAACATGTTATAATTTATGCCCCGTCATGTTTCCTTGTTCTGTTGGTTGAAGGACTCTTAATTTAATTGTAAGTAAAGCTCCCCTTTTGCCTTGCAGTGCCAATCTCATCCCTACGAATCCCTTCCAAGCTGAGCACAGCTCAGTAGATTTAGGGCAACATGCAGCCTCTGAGAATTCTCCTGTGTCAAACGCTTCTCTGAAACCCAAGCCAGAAGTTGTACAGTTGGGGGTGGGGGGAAATCGGTCCTTCTCAATGACCTCAATTATTTGGATAAATGGATGACTTCTTGAACTAAGAACAAATTACCAACATCTCCTCTTTTCCCTTTGAAAATTTCTGGCTCTTTATGGAAAAAAAATAAGTCTTTGCTTAACCACTTGGCATTTCAAAGAGGATTTTGGGAAATTGATTTACAAAATTTACAAAATAACAGAGTTATCCTGTAATCTGCAACTCTTGCACTGCAAAAACATATGGACTACACAACTCGATCAGGGCAAAGCAATAGACACAATCTACATAGACTTCTGTAAAGCCTTTGATTCAGTGGTACATGACAAACTACTCCTAAAACTAAAATCTTATGGTATCTCTGGACAACTGCATAACTGGATAGAAGTATTCCTGTCAAACAGGCAACAAATGGTCAAAATTGGGAGCGTCCTATCAAATTCTGTACCTGTCAACAGTGGTGTCCCCCAAGGCAGTGTTTTAGGACCAACTCTCTTCATACTCTACATAAATGACCTCTGTGATCATATGAAGAGCAACTGCGCTCTCTTCACTGATGATGTAAAGCTATTCAACACCACAGACAATACTGCTACCCTCCAAAAAGACCTTGACTATGTATCAGAATGGTCAATCAAATGGCAACTTCAAATCTCAACAAATAAATGCTCTGTCTTACATATTGGCAGAAAAAATCAGAAAATAAAATACAAGCTAAATAGTCAAGACCTTGTTGAGGATCCAAACTTTGTCAAGGACCTTGGAGTACTCATCTCAAATGATCTAAGTGCTAGAGCCCACTGTAACTACATAGCCAAAAAGGCATTAAGAGTTGTTAATCTAATTCTACATAGCCTCTTCTCTGGTAATATCACACTACTAACTAGAGCATACAAAACATTTGCTAGACCTATACTTGAATACAGCTCATCAATCTGGAACCCATATCATGTATCTGATATTAACACAATTGAAAAAGTCCAGAAATATTTCACAAGAAGAGTTCTCCGCTCGTCTACTCGTTACAGAATACCTTATGCCATCAGACTTGAAACTCTAGACCTAGAAAACCTAGAACTACGCTGCCTCCGGTCCAATCTAAATATAGTATATAAAATCATACATTGCAATGTCCTACCTGCAAATGAATACTTCAGCTTCAATCATAACAATACAAGAGCACACAATAGATACAAACTCCAGGTTAACAGCACCAAACTTGACTGCAGAAAATACGACTTCAGCAACAGAGTGGTCAATGTCTGGAATACACTACCTGCCTCAGTGGTTTCTTCCCCAAACCCCAAAAACTTTAACCTTAGACTGTCTGCTATTGACCTCACCCCTTTCCTAAGAGGTCTGTAGGGGGTGTGCATAAGCACACCAATCGTGCCTACCGTCCCTGTCCTATTGTTTTTTATTTTTCTTATACGTATCTATCTCATGTATTCAAAATTATGTTTATTCTTATACCTGTATCTTGTAAGTGATTGACAAATCAAATAAATACTAAATAATTGGAAGGGACCTTGTAGGTCATCTAGTTTAACCCCAAGCTCAAGATGTTGTTATCCAAGGTTTTGGTTTCCTTATTCTGAGTTAATGCTTTTTGTTTTTCTTTTCTTAATCCATATCTGTATCACACAGCCTACTGCAATGAGATTTGAGAATAAAATTTACATCTCCCAGGCAGCAGGAAGCCAAGAAGCTTCATTTCCCTTTTCTAATTTCCTTTTCTTTCTGCTTCCTGGTATATTTCTCGCCCCTAAATCAGAGAGGGCAACTGTTGATTCTTGAAAGGACAAGAAAAATAAATTGCCAGCAGGATTGCAAAGCCATCTGCAAGGGAAATCTATAAAGATTTTTTTTTTTTTGCAGCTTGTTTGAATTAAATTGCAAGTCCATGACGAGACATTTGCAGATGCTGAGCTTGTCAATCATCTTTCTTCCATAGTTTGAAGCCGCTTAAATAGAGACCTCCCTTTATCTTTTATCCCTACAATAAGAAGAACCCTCTTGGGAGGGTTAGGCTGACGGAGACCAACTGGTCCAGAGTAATCCATGGAGCTTCTCTGGCTGAAAATAAATCTCACCTGTCATCGTTCAACATTTTAACTAGGCATCGCTCTGGTTCTCAAGAAGCATTTGGAGGTGCCCCAGTTTTTTTTCTTTTTCTTTTTAACCAACGGCAAGAAATCTTTCTGAGCAAAGTCTAGCCAATGTCTCCTGTTACCAGGGGTGGGCTGCTACCGATTCGCCCCAGTTCAGGTGAACCGATCCCGAACTGGTAGCTAATTTTATGGCTGGTTCGGTGAATCAGCAAATCCCAGCCCTGACTGCAGGAAAAGCAGAAGCAGCAGAGACCCTGGGAAAATCCCCCAAAAAGTCTGCAGGAAAATCCCCCACCCCGTTTTCCTACCGATCGATCGTTCTTTATTTGGGATCACAGGATACCGTCTCCAGCTCCGTTCTCAGGGGGAGAGAGAGACTTTTGGCTTCATGCAAGGAAAGCAGCAGAAGCAGCAGAAGTCTTTCTTTCTCTCCCCCCAAACTCTGACAGAAAGGAGTCTTTGCCGGTGCAGCCTCTTGGAGCAGGAGGCCTTGCAGGGTCCCAAAGACTCCTTTCTGGCGGAGTTTGGGGGAGAGAAAGAAAGACTTTTGCTGCTTTCCTTGTGTGCAACCAAAAACAGAAGCAGAAAGAAGTGGAAAGAAGGAGCCTGGTGGCCAGGCCAGGCGTGTGGGGGCGCATGGGGCAAGTTCCCCCCCCTCCGCCCTTTCCCCCCTCCTCTCACTACCTCATGTTGTTTGCAATGCAAGTGACACAAGCCTTGTGTTCCCGCGGGCCATGTGGGCGGCGCAGCCTTGTGTTCCCGCGCAGCCTGGATTAATTGCTTTGGGGGGGAGGACATTTCTCTGCGGACCACCAAAATTTTCTCATGGACCACTGGTTGGTAACCACTGGGCTAGGCCACGCCCACTATGGCCACGCCCACCCAGCAACCGGGCAGAGAACCGGCTGCTAAAATTTTTGAAACCCACCCCTGCCTGTTACCAACCACTTCCCTGTCTTTGCATTTGTGTAACGGCGTCTTACCTCCAACATCAACTGAGTGAACTCTTCGTTGCTAAGGAATGAGGGTTTCCAGTCCTGTCTAATCTCATAGGCTTCGGTCTGGGCTGAGATTTCTAAAAGAGAAAAGCAGCTGGATGAAGAAAAAAAAACCGATGCGGAATTAAGGATGGAATATGGGGGGGGGGGTGATTTTTTTTTCTCCCCTCAGGAAATGATCTTCCTCTAAGAAACCACCCTGATTTTATCTTACTACTGTAACCGAGAAAACAGAAAACAAAAACTCGAATGCGACTAAGTTTAGTCAGAAGAGGCATCAACAGAGTTATAAAGTTATGTGTAGTATAAAAGAAGAAATAAACTTAGAGTTTTCCCTCTTCACTCATAGAAAAAGCTACAAAAATACCTAGAACTAAGGAGAAATTTCCGGACAGTGAGAACAATTATTCAGTGGAACAACTTTCCTCCAGAAGTTGTAAATGTTCCAACACTGGAAACTTTAAAAAAGATGTTGGACAACCATTTGTCTGAAGTGGTATAGGGTTTCCTGACTAAGCAGGGGGTTAGACTAGAAGACCTCCAAGGTCCCTTCCAACTCTCTTAACTCTATTCTAAGGAGAGAAGCAACCCAGAACTAAGGAGAAATTCCTTGACAGAACAATTAACCAGTGGGACGACTTGCCACCAAAAGTTGTGAATGCTCCAACACTGGAGGTTTTAAAGAAGAGATTGGGACAACCATTTGTCAGAAACAGTAGAGTGTTTCCAGCCTGAGCAGAGGGTTAGACTAGAAGACCTCCAACTCTGTTATTCTTCTTGGAAAACATGCACAATGTCAACCCCCAGAGTTAGAAGGTGCTTGCTTTTGTTTACTTGGGAAAAGCAAAGAGAGAAGGGACATCCCTCACCTTTCCAAGCTCAGGATCTGCTCTTAAAAAATTTTTTTTTTTTAAAAAAAATGAAACAGACTGTGCCACAGTAATAAGAGGAGCGGAGGTCAACCTTGTGGTCCACGTACCTTTTTGCTTCTGTAAAAAATCGATAGTCCTCTGTAAGATGGTGGACTTGTCCATCTTGAGAGGGTGTCCATGTCCTTGGAGCATAGTGCACAATTCCTTAATGAGGACATTGAACTGATCTCTTCTTTTCTTCTCTGATTTGTTGCGTGACGCCCTGGTCAAAGGAAGCACAAAGTTGCCTTTGAAAACTTAATTCCTCTTGCGTGGGCAAATCTACAAGAGCAAGGATGTCCTTCACGAGGTACGTTTAAAAATGTTGGGATGGGGCAGGACAAACAGGGGGTGGGTTTCAAAAAAATTTCCCACAGGCTCGGAGAACGTGCTTCGCCAGAAGTGGTATTTGCCAGTTCTCAGAACCAGTCAAAATGTCTGCTACCAGCACGCCAGAACCAGTCCAAACTGGCTGAATACCATCTCTGATGACAAATGCAACCAAGGTTCCACCTGGTTTTATGTACACCACAGATCGAAAGAAGTAAAATATTGTACCTCTTTGCCCTGTCCTTCTCATCTTCATCCATCAGCTCGTTTACACGATACAGAGTTCTGCAATGAAAGTACACAACAGTCAACTTTTCTGTTGGCATAACAAACACTACTTGGTGCTACAACATGGAGGAGGAGAA